ACAGCTCAAGGTCCAGTGCTGACTTCTTAAGGACAGGTCTGACGTGTAAATTCTTTGTTTTTGTTGTCTCGATCAATCACAAGCTTCGTTTTGACGGTAATGGTGGTATAGACGCTTCGCCCGTTGACTCGTTGAGGGAAATACGCAAACAAATTAATTTGCCTATCAATTAGGTTTTGTATCAGTGAGGAGTTACCTTAAGAAGAAGAAGCTGTCCACTGAAAAGGTACCATTTCGTATGGCTTGGAAAGAAAACCTGTGCATGATCTTTGAAGCTGTCAGCAAATTGTCTGGAATATACAGATAAAAGACGGTTATAATAGTGTCTCAGTGGGGTTAACCGTGAGCCGTGAAACGTGTTAATCGTAAGACGTAAAATTGAATGCTTTTACTCTAAGCGTGAAACACTAATTACTAAATTGTGAAAATAGTGATAGTTGAACAAAAGAAAACAAAAGAATTGTCATAAAATTGTACAAAATATTGATTAAACCATGCAATTGTAGAGTGATCGCACTTAATCCGTGCAACTGTACAAACTAATTAAACAGTTCTATTTAGTTGTATTTAGTAAATCGTGCATGCGGAACGTAAAATGAATTGAATTGATTCAAATAAACAAACTAATTAGGCAAACGCGGTTTTGATTTTGCCTTTTGGTAGCCTACTACACCCTAATAGTTACTATTAAACACTGACTAGTAGTAATTGTTTCACAGACGGATGAAAATGACTCTAGCATCTCGCTTCAGGTCCACTTTTAGTGCAAATTAGTACTACGTAGATTTTGTACAGTTACACGCTTTAAGTGCGATCACTCTAATTATTTTCCGCGCTTTTACTAGAGTAATCTTTAAACCGTCAGGCAACTGTACAAAATCTAAGTATTACTAGTTTGTACTAAAAGTGGACCTGAAGCGAGACGGTAAAGTGATCGCACTTAAACTCCTTTTTTTAAGGGGTCTTTTGTGCATGTCTAGTCAAATCGAATAATGAAATTGGGCTATTTCACTGAGTGAATTTTCTATCTTGTCTTAATGCAAAGTTTTCGTCCGTCTATTAGGGTGTTGTAGGCTAGCGAAAGGCATAATCAAAACGTGTTTGCCCAATTAGTTTGTCGCATGTCATAAGTTAAACTATTGGGAATTAATAGGGGGCAAAAGTATTTATAGTACAATAGTCTCCTTCACGGTTACGTGCGCCATCTTGAAAGGTAGCCGTGCCTTTGCATCGAAGCGAGACAACCGTTGAGCGTGCAATGATAGATACCTGTGAATAATTGTCTGTAGGTGTGAAAGAAGGTTTCTATCATTGCACGCTCAACGGTCGTCTCGCTTCGATGCAAAGGCACGGTTACCTTTCAAGATAGCGCAGGGAACCGTGAAGAAGACTATTCCTATTTCACAGACGGATGAAAATGACTCTAAACCCCTGAGAAGACAAACAGATGGCTACGTATAATCTCGCCAACGTACTTGCAAGAAAATATGGTAGAAAAAAAAAGTAGGAATGACCAAGCACAACCCATGAGATACTTAGTACTCTCATCCCGTTTATGGAGTTGATGGCTCCTGGTGCTGTATTGGTGTCCATAATTTTCTTCGTATTTGCAATAATGGAGAAGCACTTGAAAAATCTGATGATGATAGCTAGAAGAGGAAAGTATACTGTCAAAAGCCTGACTTCCTGACTCTTGGAATATACGCGGCATTAAAAACATTTTTTGCATATTTTGAATAAACTAGGCGTTCTTAGAGCGTGAAGTATGGATAGCTATTTCAATTGGAAAATAGAGAANTTTGAAATCTTTGCCCCCACAAGACTGTCTAACACTAGAAAGGATATTGATTCAGTTTTGTAAGCATACAACTCGAAACTCTATGCGATCTGCACATGCGCGTACTTCTAATGCCTAGACAGACGCATTCCGATGAGATCACAGATACCACATTTGTAAACGAATAGTTTTTTTGTCATATAAAAGCCAAGTAGCATATAACATTTACTAACGATATTCGTACATCAATACGCTTGAGCTTCCGGTCATGTAATAACACAGCCAACCCAATAGTTAATTATTAAATTCTTAACTTCCGGTGGTCCAAACGCGACATGACACATAGATAGATAGATTGGCTAAAAGGTAAATTTAAAGTCGGACCCGCCTTCGGCTAGTCCGACTAATTAGTACTACGTGGATTTTGTACAGTTGCACGGCGCTTTAAGTGCGATCACTCTAATTATTTTCCGCGCTTTTACTAGAGTAATCTTTAAACCGTGCAACTGTACAAAATCTAAGTAGTACTAAAAGTGGACCTGAAGCGAGACGGTAAAGTGATTGCACTTAAACTCTTTTGTTTCTTGAAGAGGTCTTTTGTGCGTGTCTAATCAAATCGAATATTGAAATTGGGCTATTTCACTGAGTGAATTTTCTCTCTTGTCTTAATGCAAAGTTTTCGTCCGTCTATTAGGGTGTAGTAGGCTACCGAAAGGCATAATCAAAACGTGTTTGCCTAATTAGTTTGTCGCATGTAATAAGTTAAACTATTGGGAATTAATAGGGGGCAATAGTATTTATAGTACAATAGTCTTCTTCACGGTTAGGTGCGCCATCTTGAAAGGTAGCCGTGCCTTTGCATCGAAGCGAGACAACCGTTGAGCGTGCAATTAAGGAATGGTTCATGGTTAGCATAGTTATAACATAGACAGCTATTTTTTTATCGTATGCAGCTTTTTTTTCGTCTTTGATCAAACTATATATTCTTGATATTTAGCGTGCGATGATCGATTTGTACGGCTTCATCAAACATTTTGTTTTCATCATTTAAAAGAGAAATTCACCAAAAATGTTTAAAAAAGGCTCTTCCAGTAATTCTGCCATTTTTTAAAATCTTTTCATGTGAATTTTTACGGAAATCGCGACTGAAAGAAATGCTGACGCAAGTTTATGATATATCCGCTGATAGTTCATAACAATTAACCAATCAGAGCGCGCGTTTCATAGTATCTATGTTATAATGATAGAAACCTGTGAATAATTGTCTGTAGATGTGAAAGAAGGTTTCTATCATTGCACGCTCAACGGTCGTCTCGCTTCGATGCAAAGGCACGGATACCTTTCAAGATGGCGCAGGGAATCATGAGGAAGACTATTCCTATTTCACAGACGGATGAAAATGACTCTAAACCCCTGAGAAGACAAACATATGGCTACGTATAATCTCGCCAACGTACTTGCAACTAAATATGGTAGAAATAAAAAGTAGGAATGACCAAGCACAACCCATGAGATACTCAATACTCTCATTCCGTTTATGGAGGTAATGGCTCCTGATGCTGTATTGGTGTCCATGATTTTCTTCGTATTTGCAATAATGGAGAAGCACTTGAAAAATCTGATGATGATAGCTAGAAGAGGAAAATATACTGTCAAAAGCCTGACTTCCTGACTCTTGGAATATACGCAGCATTAAAAACATTTTTTGCATATTTTGAATAAACTAGGCGTTCTTAGAGCGTGAAGTATGGATAGCTATTTCAATTGGAAGATAGAGAAAGACGGTANTGTGGGTAACACATTTTTGAAATAAAATGTGGATAAACTCTATTTTGAAACAAAGTTTCTTTTGTATTAAAAGCTCTTATCCAATCATAAGCACTCAAAACAATAGCTAAAAGATGCTTCTAATTTGCAATGTTCCCCACGTAGAATTGCCTTAATATTGAAGCTAAAGAAAGCTTTCATGAAAGCGAAAAACGACATTAAATATAATATTAGAAAATTCGCTACCTTGGGAAATTATAGCAGATTTTCATGTTTTAACCAATGGGATGGATGGATTATACAATGCGCAATTAGCACCTTCTTGCATTCCTGTGCCGTTTGCTTCCCTAGTTCTTACTCGGGGCATTACTTAATTTTATCGTAGGCAATATCGGGAATAATCATATTCCCAGTTGGCGTTCATGAAAACACTTTTCAGTGACTCTTTCAAAGTTCGTATATTTKATGAAGMCTCCCTTGACGTCACATCATTAGCATTTTCAATTTTCAAATGCCTTTAACTCAGAAAATAAAATTCAAAAAACTTTTTTTTCTTCATAAACAATGATTAGCATCAAATTTGCCTTTTRTTAAAATTTTTTTAAATTGGTTCATATGCACTTTTATTCTAAAATTTAAATATAAGTATGTCTTACAAGCACAGTATATCAGCAGCCCCGTACTCTAACGATTTGGCACAGTTAACAGGTATGGGATCTGGCTTCGTTGAATTCAATGTCTTGTTTGCTTTGAGGTGAAAAGCAGCTAAATAAAAAAAATTATATAATTGAAACCTGATTATTATTTTTAATTTTTACATGGGATTATCATACTAATGCAAAATTTGTTAGCATTAGTCGAATATTAAATACTGATGTTTGKCTCGTAAATTACTGTTGTTTCATTCATCTTTCTACTGACATATTTGATTTATTTTCAAACTCCATTTGATAATTGGTAATATCATCCCTGGGGATTTGACTACCTGCCCATCGCTTCACGCTTATCCGAGAAAAGATCGGAGTCTGATAGATAGAAACATTTCAAACACGTTCGTCATAGTCCACATCGCAACCCGCGGAAGGCCTTGTGACGCAATGCATTTTGGGATTGATAAATGAGTAAACAAGGGAGCAGCAATGTCAGTGCTCTAGTTGTCTGTAACGTAGACTAAGTTTATGAAAAACATTGGGAAATATTGATATTGTAGTTAATCTCAGGGGGGGGTTCTGGGACTATATTTTTTCATCCATTAGATTATGTTGAGTGACTCCTATCGTCCTGTTGCAGTCGATAGACACGCTTTTTCAAGGCGCGTGCAGTCGCTCCTCCATCTTGATGACAAGTCGGGCACGTACTGTTTACGTCGGAATCTCAGGCATATTTCGGCTTTGAGTTGAAGGGTTWCTGGTTCGTATACTGCACATTGCCATTTGGGTCGAAGATATCGCCATTTATCTACCATTCCATATTGAACTTGCAGTTTCGGGATGCTCTCTTAACGTAGTGAAATGGTGGGATCTAGCGGTAAACTAGTGTGAGCTGCGTCGGTGTAGCTCTTTATATCGACGATCGACTGATGGCGAATTGCTGTCGGGAAGGGTTCCTTGGTCAGATGACAGGTCTGAGGAGTTTGACTTGAGAGMGGCACAGACGTCCATCTACATTGTCTTGGTGATGTTGGCTACACTATTGGGATAACGAAATCGGTGGTTCGGCCTACCACCCGTTTAGATTATCTCGGGTTTGTAGTTTACTCATCCCAGAAGMAAGCTTTCTTGGTGCCGCAAAGGAAGATTGTGGCGTGGGCATTGCTGTTTGAGGAGATCTTAAGGTGCCAGGAAGTTTGCAGATATGATATCAGAACCTTACAAAGACTTCAAGGGAAATACGTCTCTCTATGTAAAGCTGTTCCTATCGCCAGGTTGTTCATTAGAGAGATGAGTCGAGCCATTGCCTCCGGCAAAGACAACGTTCAGGCTCTCTTGACACCTCTCCTAGAAGAGCTGCGATAYAACTCCATTTGAATTGGTAAATGATACCTGGGTATTTGACTAATCAATATAAAGATATACATGCCCCACCCATTTACTCACGCTTGTCCGCGAAAAGATCGGATCCCAACCACCCACCCTGGTGTAAGTCGGGTTTGAAACCAACTACCAAAGTACCATTTCGTTTGGTCACGGCGTGCTCCTGGGCCGGTCGAGTCCGCAACTCTAATAACCGATTTCCCCACAACTTTACATCGATTGAGACTGACAACTTTGCACCCGTTGATAACGACACATGGTATGATGGCGGCCGTTTGAGATGTCATTACAGTGATTACTTTTGCTGTTGTTCCCATTCAGCTTACCTGAAATATCTTCTATGGCAACTGCTACGTCATG